TATTGAGAAAACTGGGAACTACAGAACATAGTAGGTTCGTAGACTTCAAGAAACCCAAGAAAACCACTTCGAACTATTTGGACCTTTTCCAGAGACTATTAAACTTCAAAGACAACCAGCAAGATTTTCTAACATTTGCAGCATCGGTAAACAAGCTCTGTACTGATTTTAAACTAGCCGAACTGACTGCCGATGATTTCAAGTGCTTGATTTTCGCACAAGGTCTAGTATCAGCAGAAGACGCCGAAGTCAGACGACGAGTACTGACCAAGCTTGAGAACGAACAAGGATTGACTCTGCAAAAACTGGCAGAGGACTGTCAAAGAGTAATATCTGTAAAGTGTGACTCAAACACTATCGAGGAATCAGGTGTGGCTCAGATTAATAGAATCAGAAGCAAGTCTACCTCCTATTCTCCTCAAAAAGACAAAAGGCAAATCTCATGTCCTAAATTCCGTAGTAACCAAAACCCAAATAGGTTAAAGAAACCGCCCGGACCATGTTACCATTGTGGTAAATGGCATTGGATGAAATTCTGTCCAGTTAAGAACAAAAAATATTGCAAAAATTGCAATAAAAGTGGGCATGCTTTAACTTCGTGCTGGTACGCCAACAGAACGAGAAAACCCAAAAATAAAATTAGGCAAGCTCAATCTGACAATATTGTCGGTAGGAATTTAAGAAAATATGTAACTGTGGATATTTTCAATAAATCCATTAAATTCCAGCTTGAGTCGAGTTCCGATCTTTCAACCAATAATTGGCGTACTTGGCGAAAATTAAACAAGCTGACCTTATTAAAAACGGATAAAACAGCAAAATCCGTAACTGGCGAAAATATTAACATTTTAGGTGAGGTAATACTTACAGTAATACTAAATGGAGTTACCAAAAGCTCAAAGCCTACGTATTGAAAAAACTTCAGATAACTTATTTGGAACTGATTGATAGAAAAATTCAATCTTTGGGATTGCCCAATGAGTACATTTTGTCGCAAGATACAAAGTACAACGTCCAATTTTGTAAATCTAAAAGGAACTCAAACAACAATTTCCCCAGGTTTTTCTGGCGGCCTTGGGAAATGTACTAAAAGTGAAAGCTAAGTTCAAGGTGAAGGACGGTGCACAACCGGTATTCAAAAGAAACGGAATGTCCCTTTCGCTGCTCTAGAGCAAATCAAAAAGAGTTAGATAGACTCGAACAAGCAGGTATTCTGTCAAAAACAGATTGCAGCGAGTGGGCAGCACCTACGGTCTACGTAAAAAAAGAAGTCCAATCAAATACGAGGCAACGCGATCAGAAACATGCCGGCCCCAGATAACGTTCAAGCGTTACAAAGCTTCCGCGGCCTAGCTAACATTTACCAATGGTTCATTAAGAACATGCAAAATTTGAGAGGCCTCTCAACCAACTTTTAAAAAAGGACAAACCATGGTCATGGACCCCGGAATGCCAAGACGCATTCGAGAAGATCAAGAAAACTCTTACTTCAGACCTCTCCTTCACCCATTACGACCCTAGTCTCGACATCATAGTCGCAAGTGATGCAAGATCGTACGGCATGGGTGCTTGCATTTTACATAAACTGCCAGATGGTTTGCGAAAAGCTGTGGCTCACGCATCAAGATCGTTAGTTCGATCTCGACATGCCCCAAGTCTCTCCTGAAGTGCGACGCTCAGGAAGGAAAAGGAAATTTACTCAACCGCTCGATGTAAATCCCAAGAGGAAAAAGTATTAACAGTTTTATTTTTTCTCTCCTTTTCAAAAAGAAAACTCTTGGAGGAGGGGTATTGTGAGACCGGAACTACCTACACAATAGACTCTTCCAGATCTATATTAAGTATGCGACACAATACTCTAGAGTGACACAGAGAGAGAGAGAGAGACAATGAGAGCTGCGTACGACTACCAGTATTGGACACTAACATACAGTAAGCTCTGCTTACACTATCTCTGTAACCTGTTGTTAATATATCTTTCTAACATCTAATCCGTGTTCCGTGTTTTCCTTCTGTGGTCCCGACTTTGGCCCCACATCAATTATTTATGGGGTATTGACAGAGCATAACGGTCGTACTAACTATAGGAAGGACAAGCAGAATTATAAGATTTTATTATTAATCTTAACTATTATTTACTTTCCTTTTTATTTTTCGTTACTCTTTTATGGTTCGATATATTTGACTATATTTATAATCCGGTAGTTCGGTAATCCGGGATTCTTTTTTAATTTGACGCAATTAGTTTCGGTTAATAGATTTGTTTTCTACGCCGTTTATTAATGGTTTAGTGATACAAGTATTACTAATTAATCCATGGCTGAGGGGAGAAGAGTTGGATTCATGACTTTCTCATGGATATTTACGCGTAAGCGAATATAACGAACCTAACAGGAATTGGAACACGGCTCGCCGATTAACAATACCATGTTGTTATCCATTACACCAGTCGTGCATCCAAATTTACAGCACTACTGACCTCCAATATAAGGATGAAGAGCCGCTCAAGGTAGATTGCTACTGAATGTGGTTTCTGTATTGACGTAACAATATTTCTAAATTAACATAATTAAGTGAAATGGGCAGGAAGATTGTGTTTCACCAATTTGGAAGAAACTACCGACTTTCGAGTTCCGGGGCTCTCCCTCTCCTTGAATTGACGGGAAGTCTTGGTGACAATCCTGAAGGGATGAGTTGTAGATAATAAAAAAAAAATGAAATAATCAAAGATGCTCCCATCCTATCCAACCAGATGGTGAGCTTGAACGTAGTTAGTTTGTTCAGCAAGGTACCCACGGAGGAGGCACTCTCTGTAGTCAGAGAAAGATTGGCCTCTGACTCATCCCTAGAAGAACGACCAGTATTCCAATCGATAATCTGATGGAGATGTTGACTTTCTGTACACAAACAACACACTTCGGAATGAAATCACACATATATCGACAGGATGAGGGCTTGGCAATGGGCTCGCCATTATCACCAGCAATGGCGAATATATACATGTAATACTTTGAGGAAATGGCATTAGAATTTATAACTCTAAAGCCAACTCTATGGTTAGGTACGTAGATGACACCTTCATACTCTGACCACATCAAGTTCAGGTTCTACTTGACCATATGAACTCAATAAGACCTTCGATACAGTTCACAATGGAGAGAGAGAGAGAGTAACAACACTCTCCCATTCTTGGATGTTCTAATATCTCGAAAGACATCCGTATACCGTAAACCGACATTCACCCGACTGTACTTCAATTTCAACTCCTATCATCCATACAGCGTAAAGAAAGGGATCGTCCGCTGCCTACAACAGCGAGCAAATGTCATAAGTTGCGACCCAGAGACATTAGATAAAAAATTGATCCGTATAAGTAGTACCCTACAACGTAACAACTACCCTGGTTACATGGCAGCAGCCCCCAAAAACTGGGATAGGCGGGTACAAGAGGAGGACAACAACACCCAGAAAACAGTCTGCCTGTCTTATGTGAAGGGGTTATCAGAGAGAATACAAAGGATCTGAGGTTCATATAACATCAGGACAACCTTCAAAAGCTGGACGACACTTCGCAGATATCTCTCCTGAGTAAGACATCCCCCATAGAGGGGAACATGACTAAAGACTGTGTGTACGCTATCCCATGCAGCTGCGGCAAGAAATATAAAGGGGAGACAGGCTAAGAACACCAGAAAGCTGTAACACGAGGGGAAGTAGAAAAATCAGGTGTGCCTGACCACATATGGAGAGAGAAGGGAGATCACCACCCTATGTGGGATAAGGTTGAGATCATAGAGAAAGAACATCATTGGAAAATTCGTAAACTTAAGGAATCAGCACATATGCTAGGCCACAAAAATCTCCTGAGCCGACCAAGTATAGAAATGAATACAATATGGGAACCAGTAATAAGGAGTGCCAGAGAAAAGCGATAATAACAACAAAAATTGCAATATGAGGTCTGGTAAAAACATGTAATGATAACAGCAAAAATTGCAATATGAGCACTGGTAAAAAAATGAGGCTGAGGACATTAAGTTTATAATACCCAGAAATTCTTATACAAATGTCCTCAAGGACACATGGCACAGTGGATAAAAGCGTTAGTTAGATCCAGTGACAGGACCCAAAGAGTGTCAGTTAAGGCGGTGGAGAACTTGGAGAGGGGGATTAACAGGAGATAACTGACATCCATTAGACATGGTACGTAGAACTAGAACAGTCTGCCCTAGTGAGCGAAATAAAGAGTTCAGTTCGACATTTCAACCACCCGAGGAAGGCCGGAGTGTACAACGGTCAAAACGCTGTAATAAATATGGCGACAAAAATGAGGACAATGTACAAGTGTACATAATACCTGATCTCAGAAATATAGACAGATACTGCTTTTTTTTATTAGTATTCATAATCCTTGCTATAACCAAGGCGCGAACGGTTGGACGGAAAGGAAACTATATCAGTCACAATTGTAGACAATAAAAGTTATCGATAAATGCGGCAATCTATGCGTATATATTGGCTGTCTTGAGAATAATAGACAATTGAAACGGAAAGGTTTATTCTTCAAGAACATACATAGTGATTTATTTTTGCATTTTTCTTCTTCTAGACGAGTGAACATTGCAATTCCGCCATCTTGCATAATTCTTTCTATTTTTCAAACACTCAACGATAATTTCCAGCCATTAGCATTCAGCGTTTATAATCTACAACTGATTACAACTGCAGAAGACCACGCGGATTTGATTCACTACTTTTTTCATTTCAGCTTTCCAATCTCCATAGAGTAAAGTCTGAATAATAATAATAAAAACAACTACACCCCCCCAAAAAAAAACTTCCGATGATTCGAATTTTCTATCTTATAACTCAGGAGTTTGTCTTAACTAAAATAACAACTATATAAAAATTTAGAGCACTCTAAATGATTTTACGCACACACACACACACATACACACACATACACATACATACACACACATATATACATATATATATATATCCCGTACGATCACCGAAGTTAAGCAACATCGAGTCTGGTCAGTATTTAGATGAGTGACCGCTAGGGAATGTCACCTGCTGTAGGCATAGGTGTGCGTGTATTCTAATGAATAATGGCTAAGAATTTGAAATCGGAAGAGAGTTGAGTTCTAATTCAAGTCGGGTTCGTTATATTCACTTACGGTCTCACGGTGGAGTAATGGATAACGGCTCGGATTGAGGAATCGGAGAGACGATTTCGAATTCCATTCGAATCCATTGCATTCACTTACGTGCTAATACCCTTGGGAAAGGTATGAATCCTCTTCTTCTCCCCCCAGCTATGGGTAAATAGCAGGATGGAGCGGGTTCTATAGCCTTGGATGACAACTAGCCTACCGCAGAAAGAAATGGCAACCTACTGCGGGAAAAAACTTGCGTCGTCAGTCATGTATCGAAAGATACATGATCGTCTAAGTGTGTATCACGTATTGCACATAACTGACTGACCCTTGGGAAAAGTATGAATCCACCTTCTCTTCCCCAGTTATGGGTTAAATAGTAGGACTTGCATCAGTAAATCATTATTATTTCCAAAAAATTCTTACAATCCAAAATATTTTTTGCTTTTGGTTTGGTTTGTTTTACGGCGAATGGGTCATTAAATGCCGACAAAATTTTCATTGTTGGTAATATTTTTTTTTCCAAAAATCTATTTCTGGTAATATTCATTCTTTCAAAAAAATTTCTGGTGATATTTTTTCCTTTCAAAAATCGATTTCTGGTAATTTTCCTTCGCTGGTAATATTTGTTTTTCCAAAAATGTATAGTTGGTAATAATTTTTTTAAAAATGTATCGCTGGTAATATTTTTTTTTTTCAAAAATGTATTACTGGTAATAATTTTTTTACAAAGTATTTCCGGTATTAAAACCTATTTTTGCACTTTCATAGTGTTTTGACCCTAGTTTGGGGGTTAACTATTTTCCCATAGCTGGGACCCTAACAGGTGCTACAACCCCGGGTCAGGGTGAACTTGGGAATACCAGCAATTAGGAGGTGGTTCCACGCTCATCAAAACCTCCTGATCAGAGGCTTTGCTGTAGGACGTAGTTTATCGTCTTACCCAGGAGGCGGATGTAGTCTATCATCATACCCAGGAGGCGGACGTAGTTTATCGTCATACCCAGGGCGGTTTATGGTTTTAGATAACCTGCAAAAGGCTGAGAAGCCGTAAAAATCAATCAACACACACACACACACACACACACACACACACACACACACACACACACACACACACACACACTGAAACTTACACCAAAAAGGCATCGTGTTTAAAAAAATTTCAAGTTTGAAGGACTGTTTTCAATTTGTTTCTGAATAGAGGAGGTCATGTTGAGCACTAAATTTTAGAACCCCGAGATTTTTGTGTTCAATTTTGTATGCCTTTTTTCTTTTCTATTCTTTTTTTTTTTAATGTTTACCATTAAATGTACTGTAATTAAAGAAGAACGAAAATTACTTTTGAGCGAACCTGGTAAGAGGATTTAGAAGGAAGAAGACTATGTTGATTTAAAATCTCGAAACGTTTGTGTTTATTTTCCAAAATTTCGTGTTTGTATTATTAAATCTTTTCTAATTAAATAACAAGTATTAGGTTGGTGCAAAAATAATGACGCAATAATGTCGTTTTTTGACGTTAAAAAATACATCAAAAAACGACATTATTACGTCATTATTTTTGCACCAACCTAATACTACTTTTAGTCCAACCCTTGTACCACAGTTGAGAAGAAGAAGACAATGTTGATGACTTGATTTGGAATCCTGAGACTTTTGTGTTCATTTACCTCTGTTTCATCGGCTTCTATCATTCAATACTTTCTAACTAAAAATGAACAGGTATTACTTTTTGACCAACCCCTGTACCATAGTTTAGAAGGGGGAGAATATGTCGACTTGATTGAAATGCTGAGACTTTTGTGTTCATTTTCCTATGTTTCGTCTGCTTCGACTATTAAAATTGTTGTAATGACAGAAGAACAGGGAATAATTTTTAATCGATCCACATATTAAAAATTTCATCATTTTATTCATAAGATGGGGACGAGGACGAAGATCAGGTGTTATCTTAAATCAACTAATTAATTAATTTTACTTTTAATTAATATGATAACATCTTTAATATAATCTTTCATTAATTAATGTTCCTTTTATTTTAATATTCCTTAAGTGTTTTTCACTATTATATATCTAGGATGAAATTACCAAATTGGTTCAATATATGTTGTTATGTTTTAGCAAAAAAATTGTGGTAACCGAGATGTGTTTCTAGTGACCAATGTCGAGGATACCTCCGCTAGGACACGCTTCAAATGTGAACGTTTTACGGATAACAGGAACTATGATGAATCTTTTGTTAGTCAGAAAGAGATAGCTGTAAAGTTTGCGACACATACTGAAGAAAGAATGCTTGGAGAGTTTAATACGCACAAGACGCACAGACAGCAAATGTAGTAGAGAAAAGTAGTGAGTAACGCCCCCCCTTGTTTTTGGACTGGATTCAAAGTGTAGTAGCTATTATCGAAAGATCAATGGAGGACACACATGATCCCGGAAATTCTAACACAGCGGCAGTACGTTCTCCATTGCATTAAACTGAGACATATCGGTGTAATGACGACACCAGCGTGTAAGCGGTAGCGGTGACCGGGCAATTTTTAGATTGCCAGATGGCAACCTCACGCTAAAATCGACGTCATATAGGGGACTGAATAATGATGCTTAGGCTTCGGGCGTAGTATTTATTTTTTCTCCTGTCTACGGGGATTCCAACCAATCCTAGAGTAGCACGATTCTCATTGCAGTAAAGGATTGTTTAATATCAATGTCGGCGTGACAGTGGTCGTGGGGACTGTACTATGTTTGTCCTTGGACCATATATACGCGTAGAGCATCCAGTATTAAATCAACCTTGGTGTCGTATCCTACTACCGGAAAATACACCATCCCCTGGGCATCGGACTGGGATCAAAGCGTAGTATTTGTTCTGTCTTCCTTTTAAAGTTATGAGGGGAATTTGGTCCCGGAGATTTCAACCTTGCAACAGCACCTCCCTCGTTGTTCTAAAAATACAAGTCAGTGGATATCGACACCAGCGTGATAGCGATCGCGGGAACTGGATATTTTTTTGTCCTAGCTCCGTATGTACGGTATCCCACATTAAACTGGCTTCGTGTCACATCTTACTACCGTAGGATGTGAGTAAATTTCCCTTCAGCCCTTCCGGCTGGGATCAGTATATAATATCTGATCCCCTCCTGTGTTTCTGATGGGCTAATGTTTGTCCTGATCTGTACGTGTTCGTATGGGCACCCCACATTAATGTATCATTTTTTTTCTAGTTGAGGAGTTCGGTAAATTCCGAGGAGCGAATAACATACTTGAAATGGAGAAATATGTGCCATAAAAAAACAAACGAAAACAGTTTTATAATGGAACAAATTCTGCTGAGAGAGGGAAATTGTGGAGAGCCATGACCACCCACTTCCTGATGCGATATGACAAATAAAGAGAGAGAGAGAGAGAGAGAGAGAGAGAGAGAGAGAGAGAGAGAGAGAGAGAGAGAATTTAATTGACAAGTTTGAGGAAATGGATTGCAGAACAAGTACTATAAAGACAAAGAAGTGTGCAACAAAAATAAAAGAAAATAGTGGAGAGCCTTAAACGCCACATTCTAGAGTGACATGACAAATAGAAAGAGAGGACCTACTTGGCTAGCGTCATCAAATGGATGGAGGGACAATTAACGCAAGGACAAAAAGGAGAGCAACAAAATACAGGAATTTGTGGAGAGCCATGATCACTCACTTTCTGAAGTGAATTGACGAATCGATAAATAGAGAGAGGGAGAGAGGGTGAGAGAGAGAGAGAGGGGGAGAGAACATGTTGGACATGTTTCAGAAATTGTATGGGGGAGAAGAACGAAAAAGACAAAGAAGTAATACTTAAAGCAGAAAAAACAGGAAGCTGTGGAGAACCATGATCACTCACATCCTGGAAGAACATGGCGCAGTGAGAAAGAAAGAGAGAGTGTGTGTGTGAGGGAGTGAAAGTGTGTGAGTGAAAGAAAGAGCATATGAGAGAGTGAGAGGTAAACTAGTCATTTATGTTATAAGGTGGGTGGGCTCGAGGCGGTGTAATGGTTAGCAAGCTTGGCTCGCTAGAACAATTACGACTGAGTAGTGAGTTCGATCCTCACTGGGTACCCCCTAATTTCGGCCTTGTACCACATCTAAGCTACGCTTGGAAAATCACTATGTCATAATGTGATGCGTTAGGTAATTGCTATAATGCGCGTTGCTGAAAAATTAATTAAGTGTTCGATCATCGCTCTCCACACCTTCCTCTACGTTTTAGCGCTAAGAAACGTTTGTGCCCTTACAATCTCAGTCCATACTCTACCATTTATTTGCACAATCTCTTTAACACAATCACTCGCTTTTTCTCTCTGCCGCTTTTTGTTTTGTGAGTGTTTAATTCTCCAAGTCTTCCGCATTATGTCTTTCACAAATTTCAACTGCCTCGTTCTAGTTACAAATATACTTTTCGTTTCCATAATTAAATTTACATCACAAAACAATTCAGTGAAAATAGAAATATATAAACAGTTGCGTTTTTAAATGAGAGCTGAATTGAGATAAATGTCAAATTGATATAAAATAACGGAATAATTCTGCAAATGGCGCTGTTTATCTTGAAAACAGTAAACGATAACCAACCACAATAAAAGGGTGAGTTTCAGTTTTGTAGACAAGAAAAGGTCATAACCATTATCTTCAATTTCAGATGTGGTAGTTATCGACATAGAACTAAAAAGGGGGAAACATGGCTGCCATTGTTGACGTAAAATCTCCCTGGATCAGACTTACCATTAAAGATATTTAGCGTTTGGCCTTTTAAGCATCTGATGCCAGTTTTTATATTTAAAAAATTACTGCTGATAAGGATGTTTTATTCTGAACAGACAAATTACTCTAATTAAATATGATATAAAAAACACTATTAAATTTTCCTGCAATTTTGTTTCAGCCTTTTATTTTAT